GATGCACCCACACCCTCTCCGATGACAAGAAAAGCGGGAGTATTAGGTTGAGTCGTATGTCCTCGGACAAAGTGATAATGATGATTTCTAGAGCTCGTAACTCAGGAGAGAGGTGACGAAAATGGACGCGCATGGCACCGTTGGATAGAGTATAAAAAGCTCCTTCGAATGCCCACTGGTGAATACACCTAACCATTTTCTGCGCTTGAGTGTGAGGAGAGAAAGTGCCATGTCGGCGCTGCAGTTCATGTCATACTGCTTTAAAGCATGAGGCACCCATTGACCGAGCTTTCGTACCTTGCCGATTGACTTCAATCCACGAATAACTGTGGATGGACTCCCTAAAGGTGACTGCCAGTTTACGAGTAGTTTGATACGGATCGGCTTCCACCTGACTCCGCAGCACATCAAACTCCATTGAGCGTCTCGGACGGTCTTCATTTTCGATGGAATAGTCGCCCGAGGTGAACTTCGTGTGCCACTTGTGAATTGTGCATCTAGCGGGAGCACGCTTCTTGTAAACTTCCTTAATACGTCTATCGATTTCCGCGGGATCTTGGCCAGATAAAAAAAGAAATAGGATTGTGTTGCGGAGGTGGAGTTGCGAAGGCTTGAAAACATGGGGCATAGCTGGAGGAGAGGAAACAGTTAAGTGTGTTCGTCAGCATGTATCCTGAAGAGCTTTTCATACTCTATCTAACAATGCCACGCGCGTCCATTTTCGTCTCCTATTTCCCGAGTTATGAAATCTAGAAGTCATCGCTATCATTTTGTCCGAGGACTTATGACTCAACCTAATAGATAAGAACAAAACAAGAAAATACGCTCATGGGGATAAAAAGTAGTCAACACAACAAGACTTCCTCGAGAGAAGATCCACAGTCATGTTTCAACTGCGGAAGAAATGGTCATCTTGCGAGGGACTGTCGCTCTCTGAAGAAGCAGAAAAAGTCGAGTTCCTCCTAGCAAGAGATCGAAAGAGCCGCAAGAGCTTACGCATCTGTTGCTGTTAAGTGGATTTGCATAACGGGAACGACGACCAGTACAAATATAAACGATTACTTCGACAGAAGATCAGTTGCTACCATAACTATCTTCGGGACGAAAACAGATGCACTAATAGACTCTGGATCACAGTCAACGATAATCCCGGCGAAACTGCTCAAAAAAGCAATTGAGTCAGGGGTAAATTCTGACGACTATGTGGAACGACTACCGTTTTTCGAAGTTAAATGAAAGACGCTTCAAGCAAACAAATGACGTTTTTGAACATGATCAGAGTCTCGATAACGCTCCACGGAAGAGAAGAACCAATCCTAGCTTACGTGGGAAGAAGCATGGATGACACAGTAATTCTGGGAACTGACGCATTAGAGTGCTTCAATATCAAACTAGTGCAAGAAGTTAACGAGGAGAAGCCACAACTAATACGTATCCTTAGAATCCACAGAACCGAAAGGGAAGAGGTGAAAGGGATTACGCAGAGAACCTCCATACTCCCAGGTGCGACCAAGTTTCTAGAGTTATCTTGCGGCCACATCGGCCACAAAGAAACATCAGTTTGATTTCGTACCATCCTCTGATATCGGATGGTTTATGTAGTATCGTTAACGAAGAGGAAGCCGTACCAGTAACCAACAACACAACGCAAGCCGTAGTGCTTCGAAAAGAAGTCGAGGGAGAGTGGAGAAATGACGAGATTAGCCCAAGCATTTCGAGCCAGGTGGGGACCTCTTAGACATGAAGCCTGGAACAATGAATTCGCAAAACAGTCGGCTGCGATATCTACTGGAGATACTCAAAGGAAAATCAAAGCTGACAGATGAAGCGATCAAAATGATGTCGATGTTTAGTGATGTGTTCGCAGTGACCGATTCGGAATTAACGCAAACCGACCAGTGGTCCACGATAGAGACTCTGAAGATCACAAGCCAATAAAGCAGAAGACAAGGTCTGTGCCATTCGCTGCGCGGCTGAAAGACCTTGTAAACCGTGGCATAGTGGAGCAAAGCTGCTCCGAATGGGCATCTGCCCTACTACTGGTTAAAGGCACGGTTCACAATAAAAATGAGTACTGAGTTCTTCCCTTAGGAATACCCAGTGGCCCCTATGGGTGGTAGAAGGGTCCCTCTCGCTCCTAAAATCTCGGCGCTTAGGGCATAGTGGAAGCCCTGTTACTGGCTTGAGGGGCTTTCCCGCCTCTCGACCGATGTCACGTTAGACGAGTGTCGAGGAAGTACAATTGCGAATATTCGTTCTAGGACCCACGCACAATGAGCTGTTCGCCGAGTGATGGGCGATGTTTTTCTCCCATTCTTTTTTCCTCTGTTATTCTTTTTGCTGCCGCGATCCCTTTTTGTTTTCCTACCCCCCAAGAAGCTGAAAAAAGTGAGCCGTTTTTGCTGTAGCTAGCTTTTTCCATTTCGCTGTCTTAGAAGCAGTGTGGAAGCGCTGCGCAAAGCAAATTTGCGTCTGAATCCCCGAAAATGCGAGTTTTTAAAGGAAAGCGTGTCTTTCCTGGGGCACATGAAAGATAATGAAGGCCTCAGAACAGATCCGGACAAAGTAAGTCGCTGAATACCCAACGCCCAGAAACCTGGCGGAACTGATGACTTTTTTCGGAACGGCATCCTATTATAGGAAGTTCAAGGCCAGTTTCTCTAAACAAGCCAAATTTCTATCCAACCTGACCATAGAAAAGTCCATGGAGATGGAGTGAGGAGGAGGCCAAAAGCTTCCAGTCTTTGGGAAGAGCGTTGACTTCCGCACCAGTGTTGGTATAGCCAAATGTAAAGGCAGCGGAGGACGGCATTAGACCATTCATCATCTATACAGACGCTTCGAAGAGGGAGTGGGAGCAGTTTTTCGTCAGATGGGAAATGATCGCCTTATTCATCCCGTCTTCTTCGCTTTAAGAGCCTCACAAAACCAGAAAGAAACTAACATATAAGGGATTCAGAAGCTCTCGCGGTGGTATTTGCCCTGAAGAAAAATTCACTTGAAAGAAAACGTCTACGGTTCGAGTGAAGTGGTGCGAACAGATCATCAACCAATAACTTGCCTCTTCGAACGGACAAATATTTCGGCAAAAGTACTGCGATGGGCCCTCGAAGTCCAAAACTATCGGCTGAAATAATGCGTAACCGAAAAAGCTAACGTAGTGGCCGGTGTCCTGTCTCGTAGCACCTTAGGCCTGCCAGAAAACGAAAACCCAGCTGAAGAACAAAGTCCAAGCATGATGATAAGCGAACGAAGTAGCAGCAAAAGATAGCGACTGGTTGAAAGAACCTATAAAAGAAGGAGAGCTACAAGGAAATTCTGGAGGGCGTTGAATCAAACGACATTCACAAAGACGTCAAATTGTCAAGGTGGTCCAGAAAATTCCGTGTGGCCGACTTCTTCATTGAAGATGACAAGCTCAAACTGATCCTAGAAAACAGTATGGTTAGTATAGTTCCTAAAGTTAAGCGAAAAGAGCTATATGCAGAAGCTAATGAAGGACTATTAGTGGGACATCTAAATGCTGGTAAACTTTATCGCAAGCTTGAAAAAGTAGTTTTCTGGGAAGGCATGGAAAATGATATCGCAAGATGGTCTAGGGAGTGTGCAAACTCTTTTCTATCGAGAGTACATGAATTGACCCCCCCCCCCTCCCCCTAAAGCCCTCCACAATGAGGCAGCATACGAGTTGATTGGAATAGATCTAGTAGAATATGGATTGACCGAAAGAGATAATAAATACGCCCTGATGGTGGTGGACCACTTCACGAAGTTCGCTGGAGCGTACGCCATTCCTGATAAGGCCGCAAGAATAGTAGCTCGAGTGCTGTTCGAACGCTGGATTTGTGAAGGTTGCAGATGGCCGAAGCGCACACATTCAGAACAGGGGCCAGAAATCAGTAATGCTGTTCTCTCAGATATATGTGGTATAACAGGTATTGAACAATCCACAACTAAAGGCTATCACCCCCGCGAAAATGAATGACGAAGCGGGTAATTGGTACGTTAACGAGAATGCTATGGAAACATACCATTGTCCAGACGACTGGGATCTGCTCCTCCCTATGGTAATATTTGCTAACTTGCACCTCATGATGCCAGGAGTGAAACACCCTTTTTCTTGCTACACGCCATGGATCCGAACTGTCCATCTAACGTAATTCCTCGTGATAAACTATCTTTCAATCACGTTGACATGGATGATTAAAAGTACGAGCTACTGGCGGGGATTCGATTGGCACAAGGGTGTGCGCGCGGACTCAATGAAAAGCACAAACAAAGAATGAAAGGCGTTCGACAAACGTCATAAAACCGATCCAGAGAAATTGCCAAAAGTAGGAGACATAGTTTTCCTGAAGCTCCCTTGAGAAAAGTACAGTAGGGCATTACCAAAACTGTGTGAACCTTGGGGTGGTCCCTATCGGGTGATAGAAAACAGCGAAAACTATGCTCTTTTGTCGCATTAACGAAAAAGAAGAACCAATCAGAGTTCCTTCCGGCCCACTCATAGTTTTGCCTCCAGAAATATGTAACATACCATTAGAAAGAAAAAAAGAACCAATCGAAGGCCTAAAGTTAGAAGGCACACATCTTGCAGGGCCACCATTGATGGCGATGGTAGCAATGAAACATTCGGAGTCCTTCTCCGGTGCTCTGGCAGATTTCATAGTCGAGATGATGCTCGAAGTAGTTTTAACTGCTCGAATCGAGAAAAACGCTCCAATGATGTGGTTCCAGACGCAGCGAAACCATTGGCGAGATCCGATTTGATACGATTTTTAGTTTAGCTCGTCTCGTTTCGAATTATGAAAGCGAACGTAGCTATGATCGTAGACGCTTCCTGATGACTGATTCAAAGTTTATGTTTATAACTGCAACAGGATCTCAAAAAGCATTCACATTCTTTAAACATTGTTGTGATCATGTGTTACGTTGTTTGACGTTGCACGACGGGTGTCTCCTTAGCTTACCACATTTTCGCACGGGCTTTCCAATGAATCAACTCAACGACCTATACAACGAAGAAGTAAAATTCGCGAAGATCAACTCATGGAAGGAAGTTGTCGCAGGAACGCAACGACAACATTTGCCATTATTGTCGCTACCGGATGGATTCATGCAAGTAAAATCAGCGTTCAAGCGGCAGCACAACGATGATAGGAAAGTATACTACAAGTTCCATGAAGTCAGCAGAATTTGGAAATCATGACTGCAAATACTTACAGTAGCGTTTAAAGGTCTTCGGCCAGATGTCCTCTTCAGTCGTACTTTTCAGTCGTAATTCGTTTCCTACTTGATGTAAAATTTCATGCGAAATTTCAATATGCGTAGCAAGGATGTATTGTGAATATTTACCACTATTAGCCCGCAAGCTGATCATGTTCCAGATACTCCAAAAGTTTGAATTCAAAATCAAGCGGAAATATGAATGACTGTCCTTCTGAAAGTTCTTTACATTTTGCCATCTCCAACGTGTACAAGCGCTAATGCCAAACATAGTAGAGGAGAAAAACGCAAATAAGGTGCGAATACCTGCAGACGTTACTAACTTTGCTCCTAGCCAATTCTGCTACCGCAACAAACACTTTCCATTAGTTACGTGGATATTGATGCTTTGCAGTCAAATAGTGGAAGATAGTGCAAAATTTTATAGTTTTATAGCTCAACATCTTAAAATTTTGCGCGGTTTGCTCCATTACGAAAAAGTTATGAACGAAAAAGCGTAAAAGCTTTTGGCCGAAGACTTTAGAGCGCTACTGTATATTGTAGTGCGTCCAACACTGGATGTCACTCCGCCAAAGAAGGAGTGGTTAGATTCGCTTCAGCTTTAGCCGCAGCGGCTCGCAATGGAACCAGATTTATCCCCTGGCGCCAACACGGATTACGCTCAGAACAGAATCGAGATGAATCAGGACGCGGACCTTGCGAAGAAGTCAGCTGCCTTAATGTCCAGTAACATCACAAGCATGATTCGGTTGATTGAAAGCAGCAGCGAGCCATCGCACGGTCCCGCAGCACACCCGAGGAGACAGCTTCGAGCATACTTGAAAGAAACAATGTCCGAGTACCTGGAGGTCATCATGGAATACAAAAAATCAGAAGTGCGACTCCCCGTGTTAGTTGAGAAGCCGATGAGATCAGCAAGAGCTGAACGTGTGCGTAGAACTTCGAGGAAAAGAGAGAGAGGCGCAGACTCGAAGAATACCACCATCGTACATTTAGGAACTTCAACCACTCCCATCCCAAAGCCAGTCAACATACCCAAGGACACCAGCGACGTTCACTTTCTCATGTAGAGGAAACCAATTCCGTCGTGGACGAGGACCACATTGACGTCTATCGAACTCCAAAGCAGCGAGGACCCCGCTTCATCCGGCGGGGAAGATATCGCACTACCATTATTTTCTTGCCGGTTACTCTTTTACTACTGACGACCCTAACGCCTTGTTCGTCGATGCCGCACTGCCGCACTTTGACCTGCTCGTGGCCCCACAACGATAGGGCGCCCATATACAGTGCGCTTCATAATTATAAAGTCACCCTCGATTTTTGCGATTCTGGAGAAAGCAGCCAGAACGGAATTTTTTGGAAAACTGGCAGGTTCCTCATCATAATGTAACTCTGTATTCAAATTTTGGCCGTGACACCCTTCTACTCGACTCTTTTACGAATTTTTTTGATAGTGTCGGTTTTTATACCGTTCCATAATTATAAGGTCACCCTGAGAAAGCGAATGATTCATTAATGTTGATGGCATATGTAAACAGTTAGTAATCTATAGCTCCTCCTTGTTTAAGACCAGCAACATCAAAGAGCCTGCGTCTCATACTAGAAGCTAGGTTTCGAAGATGTTCCTTATTATTCGCATAAACCTGTCTGACTATGTATTATGCCCCAGATATTTTCCATCGGGATGAGATCGGAACTGCAGGCTGGCCATCGCAGAACGCTTATGTTTTAGCATTGCAGCCGTCATTCGTTGGACGGCTCACGTGATTGAAGACGTTGTCGTGTTGATAGACATAATTGAGGTGACGGCGATGGTATAGAAAGGGTACCAGATGATGCTCCAAGACGTTCTGGTAATCCTTGGAATCCATTCCGCACCTCAAGAAGGCTAGATCCAATACATCATTGCAGAATACACCCCACACCATACGACTTCCTTCACCGAAATTGCGGCGGCTGAAGTAGACTGATTCCTTCCTCAAGTCGCGCTAGTTGTACTTGTTTCCGTCAGGACGGTCCAAGTTGAATTTCTTTTCATCCGAAGAAACGAGAACACAGTTTGAGATCAGCGTCCGAACCACTTTTAAAGGTAAAAATCTCATCCCGAATGACCACTGCGACTAACAAGGGAAGGATACTTGGTCGCAGTGGCTATTCAAGATGAGATGTATACCCTGTAGGTGGCTTCGAACGCTGATCTCAAATCTGTGTTCTAAAGCTGCCAAGCGATTCTGGAAATATAGTTACGAGACCGATGCCTCCTCTGTGTTATACCACTGTACCGAACGGATCACCGAGCCGAATAAAGCCGTACCTATGCAACGGTGGTGCAGCTGATAGGACCGTGGACTGGTAGGCATGATATCGATTTTTGATTCCTGATGCATGCGCTTGCTTTGCTTTTCCATGAAATGCCTCACAAACGCTTGCAAAACGTTTATGGGCTAATTGTTGGGCATCTACAGGGCTTCCTTACGATCTAGGATTTCGGAGAATAGTAAACCAATAAATTTCTACCTCAACTGACCGAATATATAAGCCTCTCTACCCCGAACAGCCAAGGTGATGTTTTAAAATCTTCGGCAGTTCCCTGCACTTACGGTGGACGGCGGTCGAATGACACATCCGACCACATCTCTTTTTGGGAGGGATACGGTCCATACATCCTAGTAATACTGTCCGCACTTTCAGAGCGGTGGTCCAAGTTACTGGCATTGTTGAGAAAATCTTGTGAGACGAAAGTTCATCGCTTTGTATGTACATATGATTATCCGCTCGTTCTATTGATGAGGTAAATGCCCTTTCAAAAGGCCTTCCCATTAGGTAAGCGTGGTGGTGCGGTAGGGCATGATACCACGGCTGTACTCGAAACCCTGAATTCATCTACTACTTGCTTTGAAGTTGTCCCCTATGGGCCTTCATTGTTGATTTGAAGCGGTATCCAGTGGAAATGACTCGTGCAATGGGACTCCTATATTAACTTTAAGACAGCTTATCCTTCCAACTTATCTGCAAATCTCCATAGGCAGGCAGATCGGTTCGCTTGTTTTCCACGTTCGAAGAGGCACGGCATCTTTTGACAGTCGAACTATGGAAGGCTATAAACTCTCCTATAAGCGCCATAAAAATGGAGCTTCTGGGCCAGATCACAAACATGAAGGCTACGTTTCACTTCCGACCTCTATATCCCCACAAACGTACGAGGTTTCTTTCGCGAAGTTACGGGTCTACCGTCACTGTTCTCATCAGGTGACCGGATAGGATCATGGTGATCGCATTTCACGGACTAGGCTTCCTCGGAGAGAATTTCGGGCTTGTTTTCATAGTCTCGAGAAGTATGGTCCAAAAGGCCTTCATTACCGCCTCTCCCAAATAATGCCCACGTTATGCTGCAAGTACGAAAATCCTAGATCAAATATGATGACACCACATTCGGTCCGAAGGTTTGCTTGTAACATGTCGAAGAGCGTTTGATCAAATAAATCATTTGGTTCTTTGCTCCTTGAAGCCTCCTGAGCCCATTTTGGGCAAATGTTTGGAATTCTTCTTTTGCTGGAGCTGGAGCTGTACCCTTATTTGACCGGTGAGGGAGAAAAAAAACTTCCATTGAGATACCTTTCCAGTGTTCTTAAACTGTGAGGGAGCCCTGTAGATGCCCAGCCCAACATTGAGCTCAAAAACGTTTTGCAAGCGTTTAGCACGCATCTCATGGAAATGCAAAACGAGCGCATGAAAGAAATCGAACCTCGATGTCATGCCCCCTCGTCCATTACGCTATCCGCTAAGCCACCGTTGCACAGGTAAGGGCTTTGCTCGGCTCGGTGATCGGTTCAGTGCAGTGGTACAATACAGGGAGGGACTGGTCCCGTAATTTTGTTCCCACAATCGTTTCGCAGATTTGGAACACAGTTTTGAGATCAGCGTTCGAAACCACCTGCAGGGGTATACGTCTCATCTTGAATGGCCACTGCGAACAAGTATACCTCCCTTGTAAGTATCGTTCCCTTGTCAGGCATCAGAACTTCGAGAAAGTTTTACATAGTTGTATTATGAACGATAATTGAGTACTCTCTCTTCCTATATATATGTATATATATATATTTATATAATCCTACTCACTATAAAGCGCTTAGTCTGTCTGTCTGTCTGTCTGTC